GCCCCCCCCCCCCCCCCCTCCCCCAACATGCATTTATTTCTTAGCAAATACAATGATTTGGGAAAAGTACAGGAATGCTGTTCCCAAGCGTTTCTCCAGGACTCGAACCCTAATTACCAACCTCTAAATATTAAACTAAGAGTTAATATCCTTAAAATATTCAGCATAAACTCCAATAAATTAAACCTAGTGAATACTAACCATACACTGGTGTTGCCAGGAAATTTCCAGTTTAAGTTGACCACAAACTCCCACAATGCAGTAAACATAACTTCTGTGGCATAGCCATGAATAGCATAAATGTAGAATCTTCCAAGAGTTGAAATTCTAACAAAACTTATAGCATCCATCTGAAACAATTTAATTTATTTGTGATTATGTATTTGCATGTTTACTTTAAAAAGAGAAGTAACTAAATCATAATTTAATATATAAAATCAACGTTTATACTAATTATAATTATATAAAGTAATATTTCCTTATAGTTAGGAGTAAGCTAATGATAGAGGAAGTTTCTAAAACTTTAACTTAATTTAATATAAAAAAAACAATTAGATAAAAGCAGGCTTCTCATGCATCTGGTCCATCAAAATTGATGACATTAGATTTCAAAATTTCTTTAAAATAGATGTCAATAAGATTCAAAGTTAATTGGTTGGTGACACTACTTTGGCTGGTACTGGTAGATACACTGTTCTTGACTTTCAAGTGTAAAATATCTCTTAAAATTCGGGAGCATTGTATAGTATGTTATGTTTTGGGTGTGTGATGTGTCAATTACTTAGAATTTGAATTAGAAAAATTAGTTAGAATCTCTCTTTGCCATCAATTTTTTGTGACAGATGTAAGTATGGTATCTTTGATGTTGTTTTTGTTGATCATTTGGGTTGGTTGAAGCTAAACCTTTGACTTTGAAGGGATAGGGTTGTTCCTCATGAGCATGTTAATTATTTGTTGCTGCAATTTAGGGGACTCAATGATTGAGTTACCAGTATTGGATTCAATGTGGATTTTCTTGTGTGTACAGATATTTCATGACTTTGTGTCCAGTTTGACTATCAATTATTATTTAGATTTTTACATTTACCAAAGAATGTGTTGGCGTTGGAACAGAATATTATATTGAGCTTGAGCAGAGCAATACCATAACCTAGACAATTAACTAGAAACGCCCACAGCAGGTTGGAGTTGGTTCATGTAAAGTATTGGATACATTAGACTGACTACTTTACTTTACTGTACTTTTAACTTTACTCTCTAGTCCTATTGCTCCTGGTCTACATCAGTCTACACACAACCACCTAGTTTCGACTTGAAGAAGTAAGAAAACTAAGAAGAAAAGACAATTGACATGAATTGAGTACAGCAGAAGTGACTCAGTTTTATTACGATTTTTTTCAGGCCTTGAACTTGACATCATTCATCATATATTGAAATGAGCTTGTTTTTATCGGCTGACTTGTCTCGGACACATGGATTAGGTTAGAGAGCTTTATTTTCTACTTTCCCCTAATTTACTTACATTTTTGTTTTGTTTAGGTCTCCTTTTGAATCCTGTTCACCTCGTTAAGTTATTTCCCTTGATGTACATCTAAATTCCGATTTCTAACTAACAACATGCGCCTTGCAGTTTACTGCTTACGGTTACGTTTCCAATGTCCAATGTAATCATGTTTTGAAATATTGTTTGGTTCTTAATATTAACACAAACAAATCCAACGCTTCATACTTCTTTAAAGAAAGTACTCCTGGGGAAACGTGTTATAAATTGTTAAAAAATATTATAATTTTCATTTTTGGCTATTGGAGACAAAAAGCTGTGGAAAAAAACAACATAGGTTCTAAAAGTATGAAAATGAAAGGGAATATACTGTGTTAAAGCAAGTCTACCACCCATTGGGAAATTTCCCAAGTTCTTGGGAATTCACGACCCCACTTGGGATCTGGGGAATAATTATGAAAATCTTGAGAAATTTTAACTTATAGAGAAAATTGTGTGAAAATTCTTTTTTTTTTTTTAAATCAATAAAACTTGAAAAAAACGGTAAAATATGATTTTAAAAAAATAATTGAGGAAAAAATTATTTAATTCATTACTTTCCAATTTTGAAATCATGCGAGGTTGGTTGAATTTTTTAATGTCATTGATGATAAGAAATCTTTTTAAATTATTTAGATTCATATATTATATTTATATAATATATATTTGCCATGTAATTATATTATAAAGAAAGTAAGAAATTTAAGAAAGAACGAAAATTCCACGTCCACTTGTAATTACGTGTTGATTGTTGAGAAAATTGACATTTTTCGGGCATTCTAAACAATAAATAAACTCATCTTAATATTGAATTTGTGAAGAAAAAATGGTAAGCTCGGAAAGACTCTTAGTCTTGTTATTCCTTCAACCATTTCAACCATAACTTTAAATGGGTGAACTATCATGGTTTAAAGATTATCTACAATCGGACAAAGACAATGAAGATTCTAGCTTTATTAACAATATTGCAAATTTAAATTGAAAAATTCAATTGGTCCTCATTAATGAAACTAAATAACCATTAGGTGAAGCATACTAATTTTGAAAGTACAAAGTCTAAACGTCACAGCAAAATTCGATTTATTAAAAAAAATTTTTTTTAAAGGCACAGAATATGGACAAATTTCACAGCATGAGATGAGAGATGTTTATAAAGAGTCAATTCTTTATAAAGAGTGACTAGTTTATAAAGAGTGAGTTGTTTTTTACTGGATATTTTTCCCAACAGAACATACTTTATGCCATTATAATCGAGCTGATAATTAGCTTGAAGCCTATAAAGCCAGCATTCCATGATAATTAAAATAGTTAAATATCTTCAAAATTGTCAATAGGAAAAAATAAATCTTTAATTAATTATGAATTGTTATTCAAGGCAGAATCGCATTTGATGGAAAGTTGCAACGAATAGATGCACTTTTGACTCTGTAATACATTTTTGCGGATATTTTTACTAGTGTATGTGATTGGAAGGTTATAAAGGCTAACTCCATTTAATTAAAAAAAAAATGAAAAAAAAAAATAAAAATCAAAATAACATTTTATAATCTATTTTATGTGATAAACCTTGTAAAAATAGTCTGATTAAATACATTTCAGTGAATTACTGTAAGTTGTCTTTTTGATGCATTAATTCAAGTTATTATTGTATTCATTAACTTTTAAGACTCTTAATAGTATTTTGTATAATCTTGGGAAAGCTTGGGACATTTTTTTTTTAATACAAAACCTTGGGAATTTTTATAAAGTGAGTGGCAACCATGTGTTAAAGTTGAACTAAACACTTCTCACGTCTGCTCTCATACAGAATTACGTTCGTACGGTCTTGTAAAAACTCACTGCTACTTAATATAAAAAAAAATATATTTGATAATGGTAAAGGTTGGTTTAAAAAATAAAATTTAACACGATATTTTTTATTAATAAAGGAATCTGCATTTTGTTTGAATGATTTAATAGACAAGTCCTACAAGAAAAGACTTGAGACTTGTTGAGAAAATGAATCGACGGCCCAATCCCAATGAAGATGAAGATGATCTTCTAAAGCTGCAGCAGGAGTTTTTAGCAGCCCAAACAACAGGTTCAACAAATATTAAAAAGCCTGACAAGCGTAAGACTGAAAATGCTGAGAAAAGCGAAGATGTTGGACATGTCATCACAACAAAAGGTCTGTAGTCTGTAAAGAAAGTGAAAGGAAAATCATTTTGTTGCTGTCAATTAAATCATTAAAATTTATATAAAATTTTAGTTTTCAAGTTCAAATAATAGTCTAGGGTCAGGGAAGTATGATCATATCATTATCATAGCCTTTTTTCTTCATAACGGCAACCCCAATTTCTTATGGAAAGTCCCAAAATAAATCTAAACATGAGACACGGGCCTAACAAAATGTAACATTAAAGTTTAAAGACTGAAGCTTATTAATATTAAAAATTCTAAAAGTTCAATTATGAAATATTCTTATCTACTTTTTTCCATTATTAAATCCTAACACTTCAAGACATACATTTTTCTATGATTCTACGTCTTGACTTGTAAGTTTCATCTTCCTTAATGAATAATTTCTTTCCTGTTTTTACCAGATAATCAGGATTCAAGTGATGTACCAACAAAGAGATTGAAAGTCAGATTTGATCCAAATAGTTCTGATGTTTCAGCCAGACTGGATTCAGAGATCCACGGAAGAAATGTTGATGAAGTTGAAGATTTGGAAGAAATGATTGACAGTAAGTTGAAGTAATTAATTCTGATACTTCTTGTCACATTCATTTATCTTGTGACACTTTAAAAAAAAAAAGTTGAGGAGTCTGGCCACTCAGGTTACTTCGAATTCAGTACAACTTTCATATTGAAATTTACCTGTTTTTCAGATTTAAAAAAAGCAACACCTTTGCAATATAAAAAAAAGAGTCACTTTCTTAAAAGTAAAAAAAAAATTCTCATTATGCAACTCATAAGATTTTTAAATGTATTCTTATATTTTAGGTTAAATGTTCACCAATCTGAAACAAAGGTATCAAAATGTCTGTCGAAATAATGAAATTGATTCTGATTAAATTTTTCAGAACAAGACAGAGGGTTAGCAGCGGTCCTAAGCACTATAATAGTAAGTTGGATCAAATGTTATACTAAAATATTCCTAAAGTGTTTAAAAAAATTGAATTCAAATTACTTTTAGTATCATATATACAGTTCACGCCAAAAGTAACATGACTGAAACTGCCTCATCTTGAACCAATATTTGTCAATGATGCATAGCTCAAGCCACCACATGTTTCCTGGGGTGTCAAAGAAGTTGTATTGGGAGGTTTTGGAAATAACTCTCCCTAATTAGAAAATATTTACGTAGTTGAGCACTGTCTTTGTTCATATGAAACTGGTCGTGAAGGATGAGTTTGGAAAAGGGTGGCAGAATAATTGAGAGAGGGATTTGTAACGGACAATGTTTTCACATGAAAACAGGGAGGTAGCATGAGTGAACAGTGAATTGTGTTGACCATGTTTTTCCACGAGAGAGAGAGTGAATTGTATTTTGAGAGGACAATGTGAGCTCCACGTTTTTGGAGAGTAAAATTATGTTTTTGTCAGAGCGGTTGTTTTCCACGCTTTGCTGGTAATAAAGTATGAGTTGACTGAGATAGTCAGAGCTGAGCGCAGAGCAGTAGAGAACAGTAGTGTTAGAGCTGAGTTACGAGACAGTTGAGCTGAGTTGTAGCAGTGTGAGGACGTGTCTTTCTGAATGATGGAATACTATATATACATATGTGAAATTACATTCATGCAAGGATTATTATTAATATTATCAGTATAAAGTGTGTTCAATAAAGTACTGTAAGTTTAACCTGGATTCAGTATTCTTTGCGTGCCTGGATAATAAGTGGAAGAATGAAGAAGTCTTAGTCGGCATCCTGAAGTATTAACATAAGTAACCATACTACTGACATAACCCACTAAGTTGCAAATCATGTCAGAGTATATGTGTTACAGGATTTAATAAGACGGCACCAAGTAACACAATTATGCTGTCTCTTGTTTAGAATTTCTCCATTCTAGAAATGTACCGTCTCAATGGACGGGTAAGGTAACACAATTATCCTGTCTTTTGTTTAGAATTTCTCCATTCTAGAAATGTACCGTCTCAATGGACGGGTAAGGTAACACAATTATCCTGTCTTTTGTTTAGAATTTCACCATTCTAGAAGTGTACCGTCTCAAAAGACGGGTAAGGTAACACAATTATCCTGTCTATTGTTTAGAATTTCACCATTCTAGAAGTGTACCGTCTCAATGGACGGGTAAGGTAACACAATTATGCTGTCTATTGTTTAGAATTTCACCATTCTAGGAGTGTACCGTATCAAAGATGGGTAAGACTGGTCGACCAGTAACTTTTTCCACAAATGAGAATAACCAAAGTGTTCAGCAGATTCTACATTGGCCCCTATTGAGTCTGCCACTAACATCTTTGAAACTGAACATCTAGGATACATCCACTCATGGTTTGTCTAATGACATAGTTGGATTTGTAGCACCAGATACTGTTGGACAGCACTCAACAGAGACAGATATTTCAGCCCGGATGATGTATTGTGGATCATTTTTGGCTATGGTGTGCGAGGATCCATTTTTTTTTAGGACTAATTTGGTTCTTGGACAAAAATGAAATTCACTTGGACGGCTACTTCAGTTGTCAGGCATTTCTCTTTGTGTTGAGTGGCCAGATGTTATTGTCCAGAAAAAAACTACAAAGTGCATGTTTGACAATATGATGTGCTTTTTCAGAACACAGTATATTTGAAGCACCTATTTCATTGAGAATGAGGAAGGCAATGCTCTTAAGGTCACCCAAGAAAGCTACAGAGGCATAGTGATGGATCTATTTATTCAGCCTTTGAGAGGTTTCTGTCTTGCAAAGAAAATCAACACAAATAGACAGTGTTATCAACAGGACGGGGACACCAGCCATAACGCTTGAGGATCTATTGCTGCAGAAAAACTGTCTTAAATGAATAATTTCATGTGGTACTGACAGCCCATACCTGTCTCACTTACCTGATCTTACACCACTTGATGCCTACTTGTGAGGATCGTTAAAGGAGAGTGTGTTCAACCGTAAAGATCCGCCAAGAACTGTGTCTGCATTATGCCAGGAAATGGTCTCCACTTGCAGGAGTCTGCGGCAGCCATTGTTCAGTGGTATGTTGGAAAATTTACATGAGCGATAGTTTCAGTATCTACAGCAGTGGTTCTCAACCTTCCTAATGCCGCAACCCTGTAATAAAGCTCCTCATGTTGTGGTGATCCCCATTCATATAATAATTTTCATTGCTACTTCATATATTTGTGTTTTCCGATGGTCTTAGGCGACCACTTTGTAAGTGTCGTTTGAACCCCCAAAGGGGTCACGACCCACATGTTCAAAACCGCTGGTCTACAGCAAAGCGCTTCACACTATGAAGATTGAAGTTATGCATACGGTTGTAAATCAACACGGTAAGATATTGTGTATGTTAGTTTCTTTCAGGAGAAATAAATTAACAGATGACAACAAGGAAACATTTGTTCATCTTTCCTTTTCAGTAAAGTTACTTTTGGCACATGCTGCATTTTTATTTAAAGCTTAATAATTAGTCTTTCTTACAAATAAATTTAAATTAAGTTCCATTTGTCTATCACATAACTTTTATCTGCATGTTAAAATAAAAAAACAAACAATTTTATATTTAAAAAAAACTAATGAAAATCTAATATCGTTTTCCTTTTTTTTTTGTCCCTTTTTGTTTACCACCAGGAAAGAGACACAAGAAATGAAATGTGTATGGCTCCTTTTCTTGGAAAACAAGGATTCCCAACTTCTGTGCATATGAACCTTGACCTTAAGGTAATTTTTTTTATTTTCTAACTAGCCGTGATGAATGATCAATAAGAAAATTTATGCAAAAAAAATTGAGAACCACTGATAAATGTGAATGTGTCTTAAAACATTACTTCTATTGAAGCTTTCATGCCATTTTTTTTATGAACTCTTAGAACATTGCTAAAGACACAACTCCATCTGTGAAGACGAGGAAAAAAAGTTTATTCGCACAGCAGGTGGAAGCTCAAGGTGTCAGACATTTAGGTGTGGAGCCCGCACCAAGAAGGCTTGCCGGCTCTTCTTCCCTCGGTTCACCACGACCATTCAGAACCACAGAAACAGGTTTCATTTCAAAATTCATCGTACATTTGGCCACATCTTTTTTTCTGTTGTGACAGATGACATAACTGTGTGAATTAAAAGTGAAAATGCAGTTCATCTCACATTATGAATCTTAAGTAATTTAGTGATAGCATTTAACATTTCACCATTCACTTAATTCTCAGGGAATTTAGAAAAACTTCTATAACTATTTATTGAAATGTAAATAAATTGTTTTTACAATTCATTTTGACACAAAAATAAAATTTGGTGTTTAATAACATTGTCCTAGTATAATATTTTGTGTCTAAATTGGATAGACAGGGCAACATTGTCATGGTATAATATTTTGTGTCTAACTTGGATAGACATGGCAACATTGTCATGGTATAATATTTTGTGTCTAACTTGGATAGACAGGGCAACATTGTCATGGTATAATATTTTGTGTCTAACTTGGATAGACATGGCAACATTGTCATGGTATAATATTTTGTGTCTAACTTGGATAGACAGGGCAACATTGTCATGGTATAATATTTTGTGTCTAACTTGGATAGACATGGCAACATTGTCATGGTATAATATTTTGTGTCTAACTTGGATAGACAGGGCAACATTGTCATGGTATAATATTTTGTGTCTAACTTGGATAGACATGGCAACATTGTCATGGTATAATATTTTGTGTCTAACTTGGATAGACAGGGCAACATTGTCATGGTATAATATTTTGTGTCTAACTTGGATAGACAGGGCAACATTGTCATGGTATAATATTTTGTGTCTAACTTGGATAGACAGGGCAACATTGTCCTGGTATATTTAATGCATACCTGGGCTGGCCAAGGCTTACTCTGGTCTTGTCTATTCATTATATCAGACTGAATGAATAGGCAAAATTCAAAATTTTAATGAATGTATTGAAATGCCTCAGCCTCTTTGTGAGGCGTGCACCTAGTGAGGAGCTGTTCAACAAATATTAACTATAGCAATTTCATTGGTCTGTGGGGAGGGGCGAATAATCTTGATATATAGCTCGTGCTGAGTCTTTGGTTTCTGAAATAATTTAGGGCATATTTTTTTTTAGTAAGTTGACTTTTTGTTATCATTCTCAGTTTTGACTGGCCCGTGCCTCATCGATGGAGCTGGACTAAGCGTTTCAAGTCGAGAATCAGAGTCACTGAAAATCCATGAGGAAAACGTTGAAAAGTTGTCTTCCATGTCAGATGCAGAGATTGTTGAGGAGCAACAGAAACTATTACAAATGATAGGTAGAGATTTAAGTACCGCAGAATATGTGGCTTTTCCTTAATTTAAAGATTAAATTTCTAATTTTTAATAATTTATATAATCTACTGCTTCGTGTCCTTCAAATATAATTCAAATTGCAAGAACCGTTTTTGAAAATGAAAAAATAATTTGATGTTGAAAAAAATAACTCGAACTGTCTGGTTGAACATGAAAAGTTCATATTAGATTTACGATGATGTTCTTAAGTCAGTTACTTATTTACAACACTAGATCCAAAGATTGTTGAATTCGTGAGGAACAAGAGAAAAATCAAGGAGGAAGAGCAGGCAAAGAAAAGTGGAGACGCTTCCTACAAAGATTTGACATTTTCTGTACAGAAAGAAAAGAAAAGACAGCAGAAACAGGATGTAGGTAAGTAAATGTCTTTTCATATTTTTCAAACATCATAAGTATTTCTATTGACTTCCCATCAGTCTTCAGCTAGAAATGATCATTACTTAAATTGTGTTATGGATTTCAAAAGCCAAGACAGTTCACACTGACATTTTGTTATAGCTCTATTATAATTTTAATTTGACACGATTTATAAGAGAGAAAGCAAGAGTTATAAGAGAGAAAGCAAGAGTTATAAGAGAGAAAGCAAGAAAGCAAGAGTTATAAGAGAGAAAGCAAGAGTTATAAGAGAGAAAAAAAGGCATTGTAAGCTTTTAACTGTTTCTTGTTTCAAATTTTATAAAAAAATGGAAAAATGTTTCAAGACTTTATTTTTATAAACTATTTCTTGTTACATTTGTTTACATTCTGAATATATTTAGAAGTGATCATTTATTAATATTATTTAAAAAAAAAATTCAGCAGCAATTGAGGCAGAACTAGAGTTACCCGTTAAAGCTAATAAAGAGTGGATCCACATGACCACGGTGGAAAAAGACAAACTAGAATGGATGAGAGATCTGCCACTGCCGTCCTCCATGTCATCGGAGGTGATGCATCTAACAATCATCTTTTGTATTGAATGCTTGTCTAACTGCGTAGACTAAATCAGTAAATGAAAAAATAATGGTTTTATGTTGCAATTGTCATGATGAAATTTCAATAGCTGATAACTTACGTGAATTGAATAGTGATTGCTAACTCATTTTTATGTAACTGATATTTGTTACAAGATTTCTTTTCACAGCCTAATCAGTGTTACATTTAATTTTTCACTTATCTTAAGCCATCAGAGATAAATGTTGGGGAACTTTTATTTATTTACTAGCTGATTGGTTGAGATAAAAAATTATTTATCACAGACAATGAAAATATAGAAAAGTATTTTCAGACAGGACGATCTGCTAGATTTGACTTCACGGGTAATCTCATGGCTGTAGATTCTGATGTTCCTGTCAACATGGGACTTCATCATCATGGAGATGAGCCAGAGGTGTGTTGTTCATTTCTGTTTATGGATATCTACTTAATAATGCACAGATCTAATTTATAATGCACATACATAATTTATAATGCACAGATCTAATATGTAATGGACAGATCTAATTTATAATGCACTGATCTAATATGCAATGCACAGAGCTAATATGTAATAAACATCTAATATGCAATATCCAGATCTAATATATTATGCAAAGAAAATCTGAAAATTATTTAATGTGTATTATTTTAACATTGAATAATGAAAGTAGTAAAGTTAAGTGCAATATTTTGTGACTCCTTGCAGAGAGCCGGCTACACTCTGGAAGAAATGTTTCAACTGGCAAGGAGTTCAAATTTACAACAAAGAGCCATGGCCCTTCACACTCTCGCCAGAGTTATCTCAAATGTAAGCTTGTTCTTCCATTTACATGTCTGTTTATATTATTTTAAAATGTACATATTTATATTGACAGTCTTCTAAACATTGTTGCTCTAACTAGCACTGATATAATAATAATAATAATAAAGTTTATTTGAAAAATACGCTTCATCCCCAAAAGCTCGAAGCACGGTACAAAGTCGACCATATTAAAAAGAGAAATAAAAACAATATAAAATTTACCACATTTAAAAAACAGACGCAACAATATAAAACTACATACGAGCATACCAAGTCAAAGTCTTTCATCCCATTTCAACCATGAGCAACACAAGCCAATATACATTAACTGAAAAAAGATGATAGATAGCATCACCTCAGAAGGTGTTTGCGACATAGATGTGTTTTTAAATCGATATCTGCAAAACATGTCAGTGGATTTGTTCCATTAAGCCCTAATTGAAATTTGTTATTTTCCAAGGCCAAGTCAGGATTATACAGCGGTAGAATTGAAACGCCAATAATTCCCTCAATACTAGCTGGGGGCGTAGTGATCTTGCTGCGATGGGCCCTGGACGACAGTGTGCCCAGCGCCGTCTCTGCTGCTGTAGACGCCCTGCACTCTCTGCTTGTGAACACACTGGATGAGGTCAGTGGCCAGTCAACTTAATAAGTGTATTTTGAGGCTCATTTACAAATGTTTGATTTAATGTATACTTTTTTGAGATACATCATAATTATTATTGTTTATGTAAGCATGATATCAGTTAAGTAGTGAGAATTTACCAATTTTTGTGACATGTCGCATCATTAGTGGTTCACTTAATATCTTGATTATGTTTGGGAAGACCAAATGATTGGCTGTCCCAAAGTGTTCTCAATTCTTAAATCATTTAGCACCCCCCCCCCGCAAGCCTCTCCTTGTTTTGTTTGCATGCTTTCTTTGTGCTTGTTTAACCAACTGCTCAATACAGTCTGGCTGTATATTCCAGGAAGCCATAGACACTACTTGGCCCTTTTATCACGGCCACATTTTTCCATCACTGATGCCAACAGCCACTTTAGAGAAGGAGGATCAGCCGGCTGATTTAGATGAGGAAAATAAAGAAGAGGAGACTGATGCAGATGTTGTCAAAAGAGATGTGGTGCAGGTTTGTTGCGTGGCTTGAGCTGACTTAGGGATAAATCATAAATAGCCTTGAGAAAATACAAGCTGTGAACTACATAATAATTAATACCTTTTGTTTTTTCTCCAACATCCTCAATACTGGGTAATTAAAATACCTTTGAATTAATTTCCAAAGTTTTTTAATTGGCTCTAGTGGTTTAGATTCATTTGAAAAGTTATTTAGATAATTGACAGTAATTGTTTTCAACCATTTAATTTGATTCATTGGAAAAATTATTTAGATATTTAGTTGTTTTTTTTTAAATAAAAAAAAATTGTGAATCCATTTTACCAGATATATTTATGTATAAATAACATCGCAACCAACAGGCTCTCGTGACAAGAATGGAATTATTGACTCGTTTCCGCTACATATTTGATACAATTAGACCCCAGGCTGACACTGTCATTCAGATGATTGAGATCCTTCTGAGGGTTGCCCAGCACTCTTCTAACATGGCTTATGAGGTTGGATTTTCTTATCTTTTAAAGTTATAGTTGTTAATAACTGTTTGTTTATCAATTTTGAAATAACCAAGCACATGTTATATTTGATCAATTATGAAAGCTCACGTGATATATTTGATCAAATTGAAACACTCAAAAGTAATGAGGTTGATTACAGTTCATGTTTATATAAAAAAAAAATGCCTTGCTATCTGGCAGCTAATGATGTTACCATAGCGAAAGATCCAAATATATTATATGCCAATGAGCAATTTTAAATGAAAATGAACTGTTTAATATCCGGCTCCCAGTGATTGCAGTGGAAATAATTTGTGTTTTAATTGTCGAAAGGTATTCAAATGCCCTGGGTTGCTGGACAAAATCATCCAGGAGTTTGTACCCACAGCATGGATCTTAGAAGGTAATGGATTAAAAATAATCAAAGATCATTTTAAAAGGGATTCTTTGAAATGTAGTTGAATGTATTTGTATGTAAATGTAGATCTTTGTTGGACAAATTTGTACATATAATGTAGATCTTTGTTGAATGTATTTGTACATATAATGTAGATCTTTGTGTAAACTTGATTGTTTGTGTTATTTAATTTGTGAATGTGAAAAATGGTACGTCCAGTAATTAATTAAACGTTAAACTGGTAGATTTGTCTCGTACCTGCTTGAATATCATCAAACTTAACTTGATTTTTTGCAAACTTGAATTAGATCCAGAACAACGTGTTTCATGTGTCTATGGACTACCTGTAGCTGCAGCATTACGTTTGATACGTGTTTTATGTCAAGCGGGTCGGAATATGGCATCAATGTTGGTAGGATTTTTCTTAACTCACACGTAGCTAACTAACTCAATGATAATCAACGTTCTTTTTCTATACAGAACCAGTTAAGAATAGGGAAGGCCATATTTGTAAATAGATTAGAATATGTTAAATCATTAGAAGCAATTTAAATAGAAAAATTTCACAGTAAATGTTCCCATTTTGAAAACAGCCCTGATTAGTATTTGGTTTTACTTGTCAGTGTGTAGTTTTTATACAGGCTTAATTACTACATACTCCTGTCCGTCTTCAGGCATCACGGTTTCAATTGAACATAATACTTTTGAGATACTTGGCCGTACCTGCCAGGTAAGTCATTTCATTTTCATTCCATTCGGTATTTAAAAAAGGAATTTAATAAAAAAAAAATTAATTAAAAGTTAAATTTTTTTGGTTATATTTTGCAATAACAACAGAAAACTCTTTATGAAAAAAAAATTAAAATCTTAAATTACATTTTTGGCTGCCAGAGACTTACGTTTACCGCCTTTGGAGGCTGTTCACCTCCAGTATGAAGCATTGTCAGTGTGGAGAGTTTGTGCAACATATGGTCTGTGTATGCAGACATATTTGTAAGTACATTTTAATCACTTGTTAGTTTGTGCAACATATGGACTGGGAATGTAGACTTATTTTCAGCTACATTTTAATGACCTGGTTGGAGACCAAATATATATATATATGTACATTGACACTAAGATGGATGTATAAATCAAACCCAGTTTTGGTAAAGGATGGTGAAGCAAAGTTCAGAAAGTATGATATGTTATTATAACTCAAGTTTTTACAGACCAAAAAAACAATGAAATGAAAAATAGCACCTTAGTTAATAACTAGGTCATTATGAGAAAAATAGGTTTGTACAGTTCTGTAATATTTGAAGAGTCGATTTTCAAAATGCTGTAATCTCCATTTTTGGCGTTTTGAGATAATCGACTTTTTCTGCTACACAATGTTGGCTCAAATTTTCGGAAAAGTAAATGTTAATTTAGGTTTATATTCAAAATATAAGTTAGATTATGATGAAAATTGAAATGTAGGTTAATTAAAATGTGGCTTAATTTCTTATTTCGTTTCAAAATGCTGTGTATCCAGCTGTAACTTAGCGACGAAATGCTGTATATCCATTTTGATAGCATAACATTATTCCCAGTAACAAACCACTTCCATAACAAAATAAAATTAATTTGTATCCTATACATTATATATTTGTGTATAATTAATGTTTTTAATTGATATATTTTAACACAACAGTATTATAAATGCTTGTAATAGTGTAATGTTTAGAGGGCTATAAGTTTGCGTGATTTGTTTTTTTAAATCTGAATTCTAAACAAAAGTAAACAAGATAATTTTCAATTCAAAAATCATTTCATTTGAATTTAGAACAATGACAAAATAGAAAATAATGAAGTGTCTGATTCAGAGTGTGCATCATCTTCAATAGCAGTTTGGTTTTGTTCCAGGAAAAGTTGATACTTCTTATTTACATTCATATCAGAGGGCAAATATTTCTGTCCTTGAGCACCCTTTCTCTGTAATGGCTGGATCTGCATGTAAAAGATTGAATATGTAATAAATAACACAGCTTACTCTGTAAAGCAACTTTTTATTTTCATTTCCTAAACCACTTCTGATGTGTAGTAACCATAACAATAATAATAATAATGTAAAATGAAATTTAATGTTTTTTAAAATAAAGTTACCGGTAACTCACCTTGCAGAAGCATTTATCGTGATTACACGTAACCGAGGGGATCTTTCCTCCGCTTGAATGAAGAAATGATTTTTATTTTTCTCTTTTTGAGCTTTTTTTCTTTCTTTTTCGAGATTTTATAGTACAAACAACTCTTTCATCCAGGCCGTCGTTATGCACCCTGTTTGTTGTTGTTTCGCAGCGTGATGTTTAGTGCACATGCGCAGAATAGCTTGCCAATCACACGGATTGGTCCAAAAATATATACAGCATTTTGCTAATTAAAAAAAATATTCACCCCGCGTTTTGAAAATAAAATCATGTTTAGATATAGAATAATATAGGATTTAAATATGTTATGTAGATAAACTTTAACATGTCCTAAAGGAGCCTGGCTTGCTCTACAAGAATATACAGTTATCTCATTTTTTTTCAAATGGCGGAGACGGCGTTTTGAAAATCGACTCTTCATTTATTGAATAAATCAGCTTCTAATAAAGAAAGTACTAAGTATTGGGAACTTTTTTTTTTCTTTTAAAATAATATTGAGCTTATGTTGTAACATCTTCCTTTTTTTTTTTACAGTGACCTCTATAGCAACATTGTTCTCAGTGTAGGAAAGTTGGAAACAATTTGGTGCTCTTCACAAACAGCAGCAGCAACAACTTCACCTCCTGGAACAAATGAGGGCGTAATCATTAAATTTAATGTTGGTCTAGTTTCTGTATTGGAACAAATCCTCTGTGTGGCTGGCAGCTGTAAAACAGAACATAGTCTATGGAAGTAAGTTTTCTGAATAAATATAAATCAGTATCGGTTATCAGTATTGATTTCAATATTCCGATCCGGCATGATGGTATCAGTTGAAATGAAAATGTTTAAAATATTCATTTAATTAAACAACCCTTAAAAACAAAGTTTTTCGTATAAATTCTTTATAAAATTTAATATAGAGGAAGGGGGGGGGGGGGGGGGGTTTGAATTTGAGAAAACATGGATACAACTAAGGCACTTTATAAGAATCTCAATTAGTGCTCCCCCCAAGGGTTCCAACCTGACATTTCTTACACCCCTGAAATGTATTGATATTCTTCTGACCCACCCGCTTTTACACAGCAGATTTATTTCACCATTTCAGAAAAATGAAAAAAATATGCACCAAACGCACTTGCCATATTTATTTAAAAGAATTTTATTTCGTGCAGATATCAGAAATTTTATTTCATGAAATCATTGTCATTATATTTCCTTTATCTTACCCTTGAAAAACAGAAAAAAACTGATTTTTAGGGTTGGGGTGGGCCTGAAAATTTGATAGAATGTGTTGTCATGGGAAATAAGGCCATGAGCCATGTTTCAGCTTGATAGGTTGACGGGAATGAGCCGTCCCCAGATTTTAACAGCCACAAACATAAGCGAAGTTAATGTAAAGGGTTTTAAAAAGATGTAACTTAAAAAATACTTATTTTCATTTTTTTTCTTAAGTTTCATTAATGTCAAATGCAATTTTTCGTCATTTTAGCTCGGGACAAATGGAGACGGATGACATCATGACATCGGCTGTCAACTGGAGTCACGTCACCGCCCTTTTTCAACCTGTTAAAACCTGCCTGATCCATATGTTGAATGACTTGGGGAATAACTATCCTGCAAAGGTAACACTCTTACGTATAAAAACATTTTAAAGCTTTGCTTTCTCTGGCTAACAATTGTGCTTGCAAAGTACAATGTAAATAAATATATTGTACATCTCAGTACCTTAAGTGGCACGTAAATAATGGTGTAAAACTAATTTTGATACGTGACAATTAATGTAGTGTAACTCTTGTATAGAATTAGTCATTTATAACATGACACTAAAATAAAGAGGTAGTTTAATTCCCCTATCATGAGATGTAAAAATAGCAAAGTTATCCTGAAATACTAATTTACTATGTTCAAATATTTTTTTTTATATACTGATATTTTATAAGCTGAGAATTTGCAGCACATGGCTATATAAAGTTGAAATCAACTTGCTATTTAATTCTTGAGTACCCAAAAACAGCTGTATAAATAACTTCATTTGATACATTTTGTACACAGAAACAGAATTTAAACTTGCCAACAGTTTGTCTTAACTTTCTGGCATCCTATTTTGACATGGAAGGGAGGCAGGTAAGAAACTAATGTTATTTTGTCCAAACAGTGTGTCAAGAAGAGGTTTATAGCTCGTCTCATTATATTTTAAATAAAAATAATTTATATCTTTTGTACTGAAGATTGATTTCGGAATAAATTGTCTGAAAAATTAGGTGAAACTTTTCTGATCCCTTTTTAAAATATAAAAATGATTTATGATAATGACGAATAACTTGTCTCCCTTTGTCCTGTGTTGTTTCCCTTTGTCCTCTGTTTACAGCCAGGAGTGGATGAAGTTTCCGCTCTAGAAATTATTGAGGATCTAAGTGAAAGCTGCCTTGAACACTTTTGGTCTTCTTTTGGTTTGACAGTCATCACTGAAAATTTTTGGTTAGTCCTGTTACAAAATAAAGAGTATAAAAACACACAATTTTTTAACATGGTTAACTTAAATTTAAACAAAAAGAAGTCAAAAATTTTTTTAAAATGTACTTTTACTGAGTTATATTTATTATTAATTTGAATAAATATGGATTATTAATAGAATATTGCTATTACTAATTTTTAAAAAAATATTTTTTTTTTCCTCAGCACTCACTCCAATATCTTGGCAAAAGAAAATGAGGACTCATACGAGGCATCACCTAACTTACCCATGCTTGGTGTGAGGAAGATCTTAGATCAGGATGTGGCAGCACATCAAGGCACAGAGCAGAGGAAGATTAACATGCCAGGTCTCCTGCCAGATTCACCTTTTGGATTCGTTACAGCCTTTCTTAGATTACTGTTGGCCGTATGCAGGCGACACAAAGGAATGATCCCAAAGGTAGGGAAACTAGAAGCCCCAAGCATAAATTGTATCTAGAGTTTGATAATTATGGCCAAATTTCAAAGATTTTTATGGGGATTACCACTGATGTTAAAGTAGTTACTAATATTTAAAGTTACACTAATGTTACAGAATATGTGTAGGCCTAATTTTAGCCACCACCACTTGTCTCCCCTTTGTTTTTTTTTTATATTGACGTTACCAAGTAAATGTGCCGTGCCACTCCTTTTACTCACCCCACCCTTGAGTGGTAAAAGTTTGTTTACGTTTGAATACATTCTGTTTGTTCTAAAGAATGCTATCAGGTGATGCCATTTCTAGAATTTCTTTACCTGATCGTTCTGATTTAATCCCTGTATATAGGCCGGCAGCTTTCCTAGCAGAGAGAGAGATTTTTGCTGAATTTATAGACATTTACAAGACATTATATAATTTTAAGATTGTGCTCGTTATGTACCCACTAGACAACTCTGCTCATTCGATAGTGGCAAACTCTCAATACCACGTGTTCGCCTTGAGACTTACGGAAGACGCACTTTCGCATTTTCTGGCCCAACAATTTGGAACACACTTCCTGACGCTCTCAGAAGCAGCCAGACACCGAATTGAAAACACATCTATTTCACAAACACCTTCTGGGATGATGTTGTCTACCATCTTTTCCAGCTGGCTATTATCTCCTAGATGTATATTGGCCTTCGTTGTTTATTTTTGTAAGGGATGAAAGACTTAGAATGGGTATTCTCGTATGTATTTTTTGTAATGTTGCGTTTTGTATTTCAATGTGGTATACTGTTAGATTTTTTTTATATGGTTGACTTTGTACCGCGCTTCAAGGCTTTGGGGATGAAGCGTGATTTTCAAATAAACTTTGTTATTATTATTAGTATGTGTGTGTGTCAATTAATATTTTAATTTTTTGAGGATTTGACCCTTTGACTTGCTGTGCTGCAAAGTTGACACAGTTGTTAATTTTTTGTATTTGAATTGGTATTTTCATAGACATTTGACAGTGTAGACAGTGAACATTTTTAGTATCGTTTTCTTGATATACTGGTTTTCAGTCCTTTGTTGCGTATTGTTTAATCTACTAGCCAAATCTTAAAACAGATGAAGTTTTCAAAAATCACTTAAACCTTTGTGTAAAGTATGTGTTCTTTCAGCATGAATCACTACATATGATGCAGTGATAAATATTTTTTCTTATTTAAAATAATTTAAGAATTCAGCTTTTAATTTGTTGTTTTGTTCACCCAACAGCTGATACAGCCTGCCGTAAACAACAAAGATGTCCTCAGTTATATCAAGAAGATTTCTGTCGGCAAGTCACAACTCATCTGTTCTCACTTCACTCTTCATGAGAATTTAATGCATTATTTCTGGTTAAAATGCTGCGCTCTGGTGGTAAGTTCTTCACACAAATACACCTGTAGTTCTGATACTGTCTAAATCTAAGTTTACAACAACAACAAAAAAATAGATAGAAATAAACCTTAGTGGAGATAACACATAAAAAGATTTACTCCTAATCTCTTACAACGGTGTACCCGATCACTTTCTGTTCTCTCCATTTCTTATGAATTTTTATGACAAAGTCTCGTAACCCCCACAAATTGTTTGACTAAGTATTGTAACACACCCCCCCTGCTCCACCCCTCCCACCACCACCACACTAATTGTTTAAGTCTTGTAACACCTACAAAGTATCAATGCATGTTAACATTGAAAATAATTAAAATTAAAAAAAAGGGGGGGGGGCTTCTATGTTTTTAAAATGAATTACAAAGACAACTGTATAACTTAGAAAATATGTGGTGCCTCACAAGTTGAAAGTAAATATGTCAACATTTTAATCCTAACTGCGAACACCCCAGGATATGAAACCCTGTCTTAGAGGCTTTGAGCGCATGATCACCCATGGCATACTTGGACTAGTGATAATGCCAGTTTGGTTCACACTTTTGTTCTGTAGTTTGTCAAACCCCGCCTTGAGAATCAATGGGACTGGAGAGTGTTTGTTTTGTTTCTTTTCTGTTGATTTCAATGTCTTCTCAGCCTTGTCCAGACATGGCCAGTGCTCACAGGGTGGCTCTGCAGCTGATTTCAAGACTTCATTATGGAGAAGAACATCTGGTACATGATCTCATGTCAACAGTCGTCTTCTCACCTGCATTTATCAGGTAATAAACTCCACTTCCCTAATCAATAAAGATTTTGCTCAGCTTGTAAGAATAAAGATATTTTTACCATAGTCCAGATATATTTACCATGGTCCAGTCTTCTTATCTTGGTCAAGTTTCTAATACAATTACCAACGGAATTTTTTGGATTAAATTATTTCAAACCTATTTTTATTATTCTTATTTTAGTGAAGGGGAAGAAGCACAGTTAGCCTCGCAGGCTCTAGCAAACATGTCTCTGTCTGAATCTCTGCATTTGAAGAGTGCCACTCAGGAGGAGATCAACGTGAATCAGTGTCAGCTCCTCCGCGAAACCTATTCTTCCCTGTCCAAGATCAGGGGACATTTTCTGATGGCTTTTGGTGGCTTGGAAAAAGCTGTTCAAGACTCAAGGTAAACAGCTGCTGTCTTAATGAAACAGCTGGTGAATTAATGGAACAGCAGGTGTATTAATAGAACAGCTGCTGTATTAATAGATTTTTTAATAAGTTGACATTGTTTGCCCTATTGAGGTCTTAGTATATCTAGGTATTCTTAGGAATAACCATGAATATGGTAGTTATTCTTATGAATGAGTGCTGGGTGGCCGAGCGGCCTAATATGAGTCAATCACAAGCCTGTGGACTAGAGTTCATTACCCAGCAAAAGCATGGACAAGCAAAAACAACACCAGCCTAGCACCCGTCAGCCTTGGAAGGTAACCCATATAAGAGAAGGCAAATTCTGAAATTAAACCAGGAGATGTAGTCCCATAGACAGTATGACACAGTGAAAATTCTGATAACACCTGCGATATAGAACACATTAAGAGTGAGACACGAGAAACACAGCTGGTCATCTACTGCATACTGGTCTCTTTCTTGGCTAAGTCTTGCCATTGGAACAAATAGGCCAGGACGAGAGAGTCAGGCTGACCAATTGAGCAACTCTCCCTGACTTTAAACAAAATACTGCTCAAGTCAAGGCCACTACTCAAGGTGAAGCCTTGGTCATCTCTGCATGCAAAAGATAAACTATATATATATTTCTAGGAATACCCATGTATATATAATTAAATTATTCTTAGGAATACCAATGTATATATATATAGCTATTCTTAGGAATAAGCATTTATCTTTACTCATTCTAAAGCTTGTTCATTTATAAGCCAACATCCCTAGTTTTGGACGGGGAAAGCTTAAAAAGTGTATGACCCGCTCACGAGCAGACCCCATTAAATAATATGCCAGTGTAAGCAACATGATGAGATTATGCTGGTGCTTAAAATGACTGAATAGTGGCGCCATCTACTTCGAGTATCTTTTTTTAATGTTATTTTATGTTTCTGTGTTCAAATCAAAATATGTCCCTGTATTGACAAAACAATGCATTTCTTTGCCATCGCCTCTAGCACCTGTTGGTGCACGATGACTGAATAAATATATAAATTAATAAATATTTATATGTTGCAATAACGTATGAGTATAATGGACATTATCAGGATCTGTTTCTCAAGTTGTAAATATTTGTTCTAATGTTAGATATTTTTTTCTCTCAGGAACGTTTTCCTTTCAAACAGTGGTAGTATAACTTCACTGATGACAAAATGTGCCGGAGAAAATTTAATGCCCAAAGACTGGGTCTTCTTGCCACTAATTCATGTCTACAACAATGCAAACCAAATGTAAGTCTCTTGCTGCCTGTTTGAAATGATTGCTTTAATGTTTCTATGCCAAAAGGAATTCAATGTACTGCCCAAAGACTGGGTCTTCTTGCCACTAATTCATGTCTACAACAATGCAAACCAAGAGTAAGTCTCCTGCTGTCTGTTTGAAAGGATTTCTTTAAGGTTTCTATGCCAAAAGGAATTCAATGTACTGCCCAAAGACTGGGTCTTCTTGCCACTAATTCATGTCTACAACAATGCAAACCAAGAGTAAGTCCCCTGCTGCCTGTTTGAAATGATTGCTTTAATGTTTCTATGCCAAAAGGAATTCAATGTACTGCCCAAAGACTGGGTCTTCTTGCCACTAATTCATGTCTACAACAATGCAAACCAAGAGTAAGTCTCCTGCTGCCTGTTTGAAAGGATTGCTTTAAGGTTTCTAGCAAAAAGAAATTTATAAAATAATAATTATTAAAATGTTTAGATCTTTTCATTGTTAATTAAGGGGGGGGGGGAGGAGAGAGGGGGCGACATTAAATTGAAAGTTAGCACACAACATAAAATTAATCAAAAGCCTTGAATACATTCTGTCTTCTTAGAGGTTAATCTGATTTAGGTTTTTTTTTTTACGAACATATTTGAAACTTGGTTATTCAGGTTATTTAATTCAGATCAACATGATCAGGCAAGTTTAAAAACATTGCAATAATTAAATTGTTACAAAATTAAATTGTTTTTCAAAACACCCTGCGGATTCTTACATTTTCTAACATGAGCTTGATTTAGAATTGATCCTAATGTAGATTTCCGATTCAAATTTTATAACAACCTTTTAACCGCACCGGTACACTTTTATGCAGACGCTCTGTGTCAGGCATGAGTATGTCTCCGCAAGCCATTGCCATGGTTACAAGTGTGCTTCAATGGACGTACGCCTTGGAAATCTGGAGGCCAACTGAAATGGACAAGCTCTCTGTTACTGTGAGACTTTCCAGGATTTTGTGTGCCTTCATTGCTGGCAAGTTGAACTCATATGTTTGTAAATCACAACCTCAGAACTGATACAATTGTAAATAACAATATCATTAAATTTGTTACTTAGAATCGATACATTTGTAAATCTTTCCGTTATTAAAATTAGGAATTCTTAAAAAAATGCATACCATCGTGATATGTGAAGACAAAATAAAAATGTTTTAAAAGGAATTCTTTAAATTTAAAGAAGTGAAAAATGTTGTAGATCCTTCATATTTTATTAAACTGACTAATCTTTTAAAATGAGCTAAAGTTTTTAATATTAGTTACCTCGGTCTCAAATAATTGTGTGCATTCAATGTCATTGCAGGTGCTGATTTATTTCTTGAAAAACCAGTCCACCAATATTTGGCTGGTTTGGTCAGAGTGCTCAGTTCACAGAAGTTACTGGATAAAATGGACTTTGAGGAAAAGATTCCAGGAATTACTTCCTTTTATGACCTGTAAGTCTGCAACAACTGCCTGTAAAATATTAGTTTTGAAACAACAAAAACGTGGCCGAGTCCCTTGATCTTTGCCAACTTTTACTCATCTTGGAGTTGTCCCCATGGCAAAATGCCAGGCTGCCTCTTATTGAAGGTTCAATTCAACTGCATTCTACTCTAGATGTGGGTAAACAGTTGGCCAGAATGGACTCTTTAGCCATGTAAGGTGTGGTCAAATAACTAGCCAGAATGTAAGGCAGCTATTTTTGGGTAGGAGCTAAACTTTAAGTTAAAAAAAACAAACCCTTAAAACTTAAACACAAGTATTCAACTTATCAACTAAAAGTTTTTAAGAAAAACAACATATTTTATTTTTATTTCATCTCTTATATATATATATTACGTTTGTGGTGTGACTGCTTCCATTTCTGGATAGCGCGCTTAATATAATTCCCAATAAATATGCTAAATGATTTTTATTTTAATAAGGCAACTGCATTTGGTGTGTAATATTTTCTTTTCGGAAAATTAAATTGACTCAGTTTAAATATGGTGTAATAAATATTCTGTTTAAGAGTGGTTGGGCCATCAGAATATTAATATAGTTCATGGGCGTGAAATAAAAAGTGTGCAATGACGTATCGTGGGGGGAAGGGGTGTAGTAAAAATTGGGATTCTCAAATATGCGTTACTTGAGTTAATGTTTTGTCACGAAACTTAAGTAGATAGGAAGTTCATTCATTGTCACGAAACTTAAGTAGATAGGAAGTTCATGCATTGCTGTCACCAATGTTTGGCGAGCTAGAACTAGTTCATAATATTCTTCTTGAACATGAAGAACATGAAAAATCTAGATTGCCCTGACAGCACTATGTATCTATAGAGAGTCTATATGAAGGAGTAGGTCTGACCTTAAGAGCAGTAGCCCTGACCATAAGAGCATTCACTTTTAATCTGCCATCCAGAAGTTATAAGACACTGAGCGTTAAAAATTCCGTTAATTTTATTTCAGCTACCAAGAGTTCTTGGATCATTATGAGGCTGTGTCATTCGGAGATGCTGTGTTCGGTCTCTACGTCTTGTTACCCCTGCAACAAAAGCACAGCTCGATGCTCAGAAAAGCTGTGTGGGGAGAAAGAAGAAAGATGCTCCGAACATTGCGGGTACCGCTTGAAGAGGTTGGCAAATACACTATGAAATTGAAAGACATTTTTAGTTTAAATTAATTTTTTTACAATGTGTGGTATGATGCACCTTATAATTGATTATTAAAGTCAGACTCGTGCGTATTACTCTTTTCAAACTCTTATAAAATAGAAAATTCCCAATAAAAATATTTAAAAATTTGACATTACAAAAAATATGCTACAACATTAAAAGAATTAAAAATTATAGCTTTTCTATTAGTAATATTAAAATTTATTTTTCTATTATCATATACTGGTAATAGTGCCCTAGCAAAGCCAGGTCTGCGCATTGAGAAATGTTTTGAAATATACCTCTTAAGGTATGTTCACACTGCAGATTTGTTTCAGCAACAAAACTCATTGGTGAATCCATATTGAGAATCCACGGATATTTATTGATGTTTACATAATCTCCAGCTGACACAAAAAGCAGACAGAACTATGTAAATCAATATATCAGGAATTTGTAGCTAAAATGGGTCTTTATATGAATGAGTTTGGCTTTTTTCTTTAACTTTGATTCTAGACCTATAACCACGCATGCGATGCAAAGGAAAATCAAAAAAAAATTTTAAATAAAAAATCTTTTAATCTATAGTTTTAAAAAACAAACAAGACAAGACACTGTTCCTCTACAATCTTTTTTGTCTTGCCCACTCAATCAACTTGAAATTTACTTCACAATTTTTAATCTTTGAACCACAAAGTAAGGCTGCTATCAAATACAACTAATAATTAAAATTTGTAAACAAGACAGCTGATATTAAATTCATCGAAAGTTTTTTTTTTTGGTGATCACTCTTTTTTCTCAGGGGTTGCTTGAGTCTATTCTTCTAGCCTGTCGGCTGATAACAACCCGTGGGCACAGAAAAAATGTTATGGAATTGCTTTTGTATCTTGCCAGCTGACAATATTCCGGAACACTCATGATAATGAAACATGTTGGCCAGCTTTTGTTACAACTGGTAGCACATGGTCTCAGAAATCTTGCCACTTGTATTGCAACAGCCTACCCGGCTGAGAATCTAATTAACAAATCTGCATTGTGAATGTACCTTTTCAGTCCCCAAACAGGTCAACTAGATACAAAATACAAGAAAACTAGTGCTAGGAGTGTGGCTGTGTTTTATATTCAGGTTAATTAATGTATCCAATTATTTGGTTAATTGATACAGCCTGTTTTTTTTTAAAACATACACCCCCCCCCCCCCCTCCTCTTTTATTTTTTTTTTGTTTAAGTTTGGAAGGATGAGAAACTTAATTGAATGTAAGAATGTAGCACTTCCGCAGTCAGCTTCACCATAGCAGCTCCCCTCCCCCCCATCAATGTTTCACTTATTATGTGACCCACTTTAAAACTTTATATCTATGCTTATCAAAATCTTAAATTGCACCTTTTGTCTGGAACTAGAAAGAACCAAAGGGTTACTAAATTAAAGTATTGAATTTCTTTTACTGGGATATTTTTTTTCTACCAATACATATTCTTTCCTTTCAGATGTTGATTCCAGTCCAGAATTTTTTGCAACCAGAAGAGACAGATGCTGAGCTCTTGCAGCTCTACTGTTCAGCCTTGCTGACCAATGCTGTCCTACCAGCTTGGTCCCCTGTCATGTACCTGTTGGCCGTGCACCATTTGAACAGGTTTTTGTATACATCCATTGATGATGGCAACACACACTTAAGGCATCGAATGTGGAAACAGATCCTAAATTGTAAACATGAGGTAGGGAGTTTTATTTTTTTATCTTTAAGGAAGGAAGGGGTTAAATTATTAGTTTTTTTTTGTGTTCTGGTTAAGAAGGAAGGGGTTAAAATTATTTTTTTTTGCTCTGGTGAGGAAGGGAAGGGTTACAATTATTAGTTTTTTTTGTTCTGGTAATGAAGGAAGGGGTTAAAATTGTTTGCTTTTTTGTTCTGGTAAGGAAGGGGTTAAAATTATTAGTTTTTTTGTTCTGCTAAGGAAGGAAGAGGTTAAAATTATTAGTTTTTTTTGTTCTTGAGAAGAAGGAAGGGGTTAAAGTTAATATTTTGTGTTCTGGTGAGGAAGGAAAGGTTTAAAATTATTGGTATACTGCCAGTGATTTGAAGTATTACTGTATATTTATCTTCTGCTATCAAACTGTCGATTATACAAACTATTTGCTCAACATGCGCGATTATGTATTCTGGTATAAAGACAATGGTCATGCAGTTTAACTTTTTTTAACAAATGCAGATACGTCCATCTCCTTAATCACATAGATGTCATTGAATGTGCAACTAAATCAACACACTGAAAATAAAATGTATTTTTGTACACACCAGTGGTTCAAAATGGTCCTTGTTGGTATCATTGCTGTACATTTTATGACATGCACCTGTTTTTGCTTAGTTTAAGTCTGATGTTTGGTGTTCATCTATTGAAAAGATTTTGTAGGATCTTTTTTTAAGACATAATTTAGTTGTTTTGAATCTTTTAGTGGTCAGTTTGTTTATGTCCTGGTGAATCTTTTATCGGTCAGTTTGTTTATATGCAGGTGAATCTTTTAGTGGTCAGTTTGTTTATGTTTAAGTGAATCTTTTAGTGGTCAGTTTGTTTATATCTAAGTGAATTCATAGAAAAACACCTTTGAAATGGAATTGTTGTGAGGAATGTTATGCTTTCCTTAAGATCAGGGCTACTCTCAGGCTGTGTTACAATTAGCGCTAGTGGTACATCATGTTGTACCAGATTGTACACAGAAATGCAAGAAATGTATATGAAAATTAGGGGTCCCAATCCGGGGTCCCGACTCTCGAAAATACCGGAATGCCGGACCATAATCGACGCTCGAAAAAACAGGTATTGCCGGGATTTCATTTTCAACAAATATTTATCGCTTTTATTAGATTCCGTGTCGTAGTTAAAGCGCGACATGGAAATAATTTATGTGATGTGCAAAGTACGAACTCCTCACACCAAGTGTTTCAAGTTCAAAGAGAGCCGACCGATGGGCTAGACCTGTGTACTGTTCATTTGTCAACTATCACAGCGTTGTGATTAGTTTTGTTTTTCCATAGTGCGTGTGGAGTGTGTAAATGGAGACGTGAGTCACGACAAGTTATAACATGAAATATATGGAAATAATGACACGCTGCATTCAAATCATGGGGTAAACTTTTAAAAACAAAAATGTTTGATTGCTTGATTTCCTTTAATTATCCCAAAGTATCTACATATTTAAAATTATGAGTAAATCCGTATTTTGATAATCAAATACCTTAAGTTTAAGACATAGAAAAAGTATTTTGTGCAAACAATATTAATAATTCATATTCATCTCATAATTGATTTATGAGCTACTTTGTGCCAGGCTAAATGTCCCAGCTTGTCTGTACCGTACTTAGCCAAACATTTACATGACTGAATGTCCCAGTTTGTCTATACCATACTTAGCCCAACATTTACATGAAAATTTAAACATTTTTAAAAAATAAGTTGTACACGTCAAACCAAATAGATTGAATTAATACATTTTTGTTAATGTTTTATTTTTCCTTCATGTTGATAGAAAGAAATGGGGGACACTGAATAAAATAATCCAAAATATGAAAAGCATATGAAACTATCGGAAACAGACATCATGTTGGTCTTATGGAGTCTGAGCGGAAGTTCTCATCATCTGGTTACTTTTGTTACCATTTGCGCTCAAAATTAAGTGATCAAACATGAGGCACGTCATTTTTACGATCTCTTTATTTGAATTTGACCAAAGATTAAAACTACACAAATTATCAAAAATATTGAAAATACCGGTATTCGTAAACTTCATTATCGAAAATACCGGTTTTCGTAAAAGGGACCAGTTTTTCAACCCCTAATGAAAATTATTTCTTTTTTTTATCAATATAATTTGCTTTTTTGCAATGAGTGATCTCAGTTTTCTCATTCAAGTAACACAGTTTTATTAAGAATTAATTAAATGCCATCTCAATTAATAGAAACATTTTTTCAGAATATAATATAAAACATGGCAGATTTTTCAAATGCCTTTCAATAATTCCGTACTTGTGTTAGATTTCTACCATTTTGTGCACCAGACTAAATATATAACATGATTGGAACTTGAGCCCATCTTATGAATAAAATTAACAAGATTGAAGTCTGATTTATCACAGTAAATTTGATTGAAGTCTGATTATCAAAGTAAATTTGATTGAAGTCTGATTTTTCACAAAGGAAGTCTGACTGAAGGGAACCCATTTTAAAAGATTTATTGAATTGAAACAGCATTAAATAAATTTGAGAACCACTACTTTAGTGAATTATAGTATTGAAAAAGCAGTGATAGACTGTACACTTTGGATGCTCATGTGATAAGAGCAATAGACCGGCAGGTGCCGTTGCTGGTGATAAATAACTGTTTTATTGGTACAAAAATTTAGTTTTATTTTGTTTATTTTTTATATCTGTCTGTGGGTCTCTTCAGATGCGTGAGGTGTCTGTGCGTCTCTTCAGTTGCTTGAGGCTAAAAATGGGCACTTGGATTAGGAACCTCTCTCTACTACCTTTCCATTATTTATACACTAAAAATGTCATTACAATTAAATGTTCTATTATTAACTATTACCAAAGTTTTATCCTTGATCTTAATACTGAGAATGTTAACTTTGTTATGCATGTTGTTTGCCACTGAAACCATGGAGACACAATAAGAAGATAGGGTTAAAAAGAAAATTCGACAACCCCTTAAAACAAAGTTTTCCTAATAAATTCTTTTTAAATATATTATTGAGCAATGTGATGGCAGGGTGGGGGTGAAAATTTAACAAAACATGTATGCAAGTAACGCACTGCATAGGAATCCGAATGAGTGCTCTCCCCCTCCTCCCCCCAAAGGCTCGAACCGCACATTTTTTCCACGCCCCTGAACTATATTAATATTCTAATGATCCACCCACTTTTACACAGCAGATTTATTTCACCAACTATTTCAGAAAAACAACAACATTATCCACCAATAGCACTTGCAATATTTTTAAGAATCTCATTTGACGCTTTTATCTGGAGTTTTATTTTGTGAAATCAGTATCATCATTTTTACTTCATCTTCCCCTTGAAAAACAGGAACCACTGATTTTTGGGGGTGGGGCTGAAAATTTAAACAAATTTTTCGTCATGGGCAACAAGTCTATATGCCAAGTTTCAGCTCATAGGTTGATGGGAAGCGGGTCAATTAGCCAACCGAAGATCTTGCCAGCGAGCCAGCAATGAACAAAAGTGAAGTTGATATATAGGATTTAAAAAAACAAGATAGCCTGCTTGTAGTTAAATAAAATTTTTACCTTGTGATATTTTAAAACTAAGTGCAGTTTGATTGTATTTTTAAATTTAAAAGCATCTTTCGTTTGATGAGAATGAAGGCCTGTGGCTATTTAAATTTGAAATTGACATTGATTTTTATTTCATCAGGTTGAGTTAACAAACCAGCATTGGTGTTTTTGTGTAAAAATTTTTTTTGTTTTTGTTGTGTCAAATCAATATTATTAATTGCTGAAAATATTCTGTTAGCATCAAGTATGACCAAAATGTAGACTTTTTAAAATATTTTTATATTCCTTCTTATTTCAAGTAACAAAATTTACATATTCAATTTTTCCTGTTTTTACAAGAATGAAAAGGAATAAAATAAGTCTACAATACCATCATACATTCATCAGCTGATTTTTTAATTATTATTATTAATTTTATAAACTCTTGTGTGAAAAGTGTTTAAAACAAAAAAAAACGTAATCCTGGTGTAATGAGCAAGCAAATACTGATCAAAAGATGAAAGATTTCCTAAATGATGTTTGTTACTGACGCGGGTCATTGTATTTATTTTATTAATTTGAATTGTTGCAGTTGATTGATAATATTATTATTTTTTTTTTAATTCTCCGTGCCAGTAGTTCTCAATCTTTTTTTGAATTTTGTACCACTTAAATCATGTGTTAAAATGCATGTATCATGAAGTGAAATATTCTTAATGCTGGATTTTTAAGATTTGTAAAGATGTTTGTATACATAGCAGTGTTTGTAGTAACACTCATTTAATTTTTACAAATAATGCCAACTTCCCTAAAATTACACAGAGAATTGTTAATAAAATAACTAACTCTAATTTAAAGCAACCACTTTCATGAGAACTCTCTATTCCAAAGAATTTGTGTCTCAAGTCTTCTCATGTTTACATCTTTTCACAGGTTTCAGATATCCTCAACTACAAGCAAGCTGACCTTAGTCTGCCTCGTGGTATGGAGCTCTATGAAATGCTCCCACCAAATAGGCAACTTATGCTGGATAACCACAAACATAAGCCTTCCTAGGTATCTGTTTGGACATGAGCTGACTTTGCCCTGAAAATAATTTTTTTTTTTTTTTAATTTGTGGATTATTTTTTATAAATTTAGGAGATTTATAGCATTTTGATTATGTACTGGTAATCTAAAGAAGTGTTCTGAAATGAAGTATTTCTTCCTTTAATACAATGGACTCAATTTTTAAAATAATAGTTACTGTTATATGTAGAATTGAATCCATCTATAATGTATGCATGTTTGTTGAAACAATAAATGAAATATAGAATCCATTAATATTTTATTTTTTACCTTTACTTTATTAAAGGAAAAATGGTTGTTTTAAAGTGTAATCCTTGGGTCTCATTTTTTAATGAGATTTGAATATTTGTGATGTAATCAATATGCCTTGTTAAAAATAAATATCATAACTAAAGGATTAAGCAATTTTTAAATGCTGGATGATGTTATTGTAATGTAAGTGATTGAATTCATAAATAAATATCTTTGCAAATCGGTCTCGGCTGTTAAATTATTTTTTTTTTTCTAAATGAAATAAATTATGTACATTTTATGTGCAAACAATAAGACCACATGTATATTAAAATACCATTTCACAAAATTTGTCTTAAACGTTCATTATTGAATTTTTTCAAAATTTGTCTTACAATAAGGGTTGGGCTGAAAATTAAGGTGTTGATTTAAAAATTCAATACAAGATTCATATAGCTAATTGCAGAACCTATATTTTAAAATTTATCAAACATCAGTTTCAAATAATTGAGTCCTCTTGCAGAGGGACACCAATGCTGTCCATCGGCTGATTTGTTGCTTGAGAGAATGGCAAAGGGACACCAATGCTGTCCATCGGCTGATTTGTTGCTTGAGAGAATGGCAAAGGGACACCATTGCTGTCTTTCGGCTGATTTGTTGCTTGAGAGAATGGCAAAGGGACACCATTGCTGTCTTTCGGCTGATTTGGTTTTTCCTAGGGTTTGTTCTTTCCCAGGCTGTCCACCTTGGTCTTGTCCTGGAAAGTGAGCTTGGTGGCAGTCTTCAACTTCAAATATTACTGAGCCATTGCTAGCTTCAAACTTGGCCCTATCTGATTTTGGGAACTAGTGCAATCAACTGGTGCAATCAGCTGGTGCAATCAGCTGGTGCCAACATGTCATATTTTTTTTGCTGCTCACGGATACTACTTCTAAGCTAAGTGCTATTTCTTATTTTTAATTTTATTCCGTTTTTTCTGTTGTTTTGTTCGCTGACGAAGGCTTTCTGCCGACACATTCGTTGTTTTGTTGCGTTCCTTTTTTCAGGTTTAACCCTACTCTGTTTTACTCATTTTATATTGTTATAACTATAACTACACGATTGTCAAACTGTGACTGAGTGTGAAGTGTGACCGTCGGATGCCACAAAAAAATATTAAATTAAAAAAAATATATATATATTTATAAAAATTATAAATATTTAAGTAATTTATTAACGAGTTTACTTATACGCACTGTATAAGAAACGATTTTCAGTCACCTGTTATTGGTTCCCAGAAAACTATTTTAAGCCATTTAAAATTTAATAATAATAAAACGAAAGCTCTTCAGTCAAAATTAAACCGCTGAGTGCGTAAGTGATCGATCCTGGCACTTTTGATCACGTGACGAACACAATTATGTTGTTGTGGAGAGTCGCCATTTTGAATGTAAACTTAAAGTGATTATCGAAAAAATGGCATCCATAGTAATGCCGACTGAGCTTTAAATGACTGCCGCGGGTCATGAATCATTGAATTAATCCAGAGAGGAAGCTTTTCGCATCCATGTAGTTATTGTAGCGTAGAATATTGCGTATGTTGGTTTAATGGCGAGTAAAGTCCAAGTTCCCAAGTTTTCTTTGCATCATGATTTCAATGATGGATTTGATTTTGATGGTCATGTCGTAGATCCAACCTTTTCTAGGTGGAATATGGAAGAGGACGACGTGGCAGGTCAGTTGAAAGATGACAGTTTTAAAAAACGAGTTGAAGTACTCGAGCAACTCATCATAACAGTTAAACGCAATGGCGGGCGCCTGCCGTATGCCGATGGGGAGTCAATCTTTCGAAGCTTGGCTCTGGCTTTATCAGATTCCAATTGGGAAATCAGAACTAAATGCATACAGCTACTTTTGGAAATTATACCTAATCTTGGTGATGACATTGACTCTTATATGTCATTAGTTTTGAATAAAATGCTAGCTAGTATTGGAGATAGCAAAGTAACAGTTCGCAGAATGGTTATTCAAGCTTTGCATGCTTACATGAAGTATACTCACAATCTCCCTGCAATTTTTGAAGCCCTGGTTAACACTGGATTAGAAAATGAAAATCTTTCTGTCCGAAGAGAAATGGTCAATTCCTTGCCAGTGATATTAACTCAAGAATTCATAACACACGATATGTCAAAGATAATTAATTCACTTGCCAAAAAGTTGTTAGACACCTCAACAGAAGGTAATCTGAGAGACAGTTCTTTATTAACTTTAAACAAAATTGAATCCATGGTTGGCGAAAGAAGTTTTTCTGATTATTTTAGCAAGCTGACTGTGCCATTGCAGAAGTATTACTTACAGCTGTCAGGCAAGCGGGATGATGGATATTACAATGAAACGGACAATGACTATTATCAAAGAGGAAATAACAACATGCATCAAGGGATAACAAATGACAGTCGGAGAGGTTACATAGAAGATACATTGGAATTTGGTTTAATACCTAGTCATATTCTAAGCAGAATAAATGACCAGAAAGACTTTCGAACAAGAGCTCAAGCCGTCGAAGAGTTGAAAAGCATTATCATAAGCAAAAGCAATGAAATTTCAACCAGCCTTTTGCCCCACATGAATTTATTTATTAGTTTTCTTAGCAACCTCTTGGATGATGCAAATTTCAAAATTATTAATGTTACCCTAGAAATAATTTTAAACTTAGTGGAGAAATTGGATAAAACAGCAAAAAATTTCCTGAAACAGCTGACCTCTGCACTTTTGAAACGTATGGGAGATAATAAAATTGTGATCAGACAACTAGTTATGAGCATTATAATAAAACTTATGAGAGCAACATCACCACAGGCTGTCATTGATGTCATAGAGGACAACCTGCAACATAGAAATTCTCGTGTGAGACAGGAAACAATCAATTTCATTATTGCCGCCCTATTAACATTCCCCAGCTATGAATTTGATTTACCAGCTATATGTCAGGCTGTCGGGCCAACTCTTACTGATGTAAAAAGAGCTGTACGCCAGGCTGCCTTAGAATGTTTTGCAACTCTTGCTCAAGGAATGGGATCCGGGCAGCTCCAGCCATTAGTGTCTGCAGTGGATCAAGTAGAACTGAGTACAGATGGTGAGGGCCTAATGGCCGCTGTACAAGCCAGACTTGCTAGAAAGCAGCTTCCTAAACTGACATCTGATGGACTTGTTGAATATGCAACACAGACTCCATCGTCTGCAACTGTTCGGTCTTCAAGCGCTCAACAGAGTGCAGACACTGAGTGGATAATGGCAGTGGCCAGCACGGCCAGATCTGCAAGATCAGATTCAATCGAATTGGAATCTGTGAGTATGTCTGCTAGGTCAACACCGGTTGTCACAGAAGTGTCTGCACCTACTCCTGCTCCAAGAAGGTTTATGAGTGCAGGAAGGGGGAGAAACAAACTTCCCTGGGAAGAAGACCGAGATGAAAGGGGTGGCTTCTACAACACACTTCCAAACTCTGCACCTATTCAGGTAAATATACTGAAAACATTTCAACTTTTGAAAAAATTTTGACTGACTGTAAATGTCAAGGAAATAATTGTTAAATTTTATGATTTTACCAGAGCCATTTTATGGGCCCTGCAAACCTTGTGCCTCTATTTAAAGTGACCAAAGTTGGGAATTGGAGGAAAATTTTAACGATCAACTTTGAATGCAGTGGGCACAAAACCAAAAAGAGGCACAGGGTCTCCATAATCATGCAGACTGCTCTGGATTTCAATGTTTATCATTTTAAAAAGGAAATTGAGAGCTTTTCCCACAGTATTTTTTTATGTTTTCCTATCAGTGGTAATCAGATGGGACATCACTCTGATTGGCTTAAGATATTTGTTACAAGGTTAAATTATGTAGTTATCTTTTGAAACCACCATAAAATCACATGAAACAATCTATGAATTTTTCCAATACCAGTAATAAAAATATAGCCTCAAATGCCGAGTTAATGGAATCAGAGTTTTATATTTTAAGCTGCGTTCTTAAAAGCTTCTCCTCAGACCCTCGACTCCAGCCCCCGCAAGATTTTGAGAATGTCAGAGTACAATAAAATGTTAATGAAACTTTAATTTGATGTCTCTCATTTAGTTTAGATTACGCCCAAACCTTTTCTTTGCAGTCGGAACATGAAACTAAAGCACCAAAGCTAAACATTTTGTGCAAACGTTTTGCGAGCCTTCTAACAAAGTGATGGTCCTGTTTAACCTTTTCATTGTTTCCAAGTTATAGCTGAAAGTTATAGCAGTGTGCAGCAGTGAACAGTTTTCGCCAAATCATACAAAATATATGTATTACAATAAAAGAAACAATTTTTAAGATCAATCAAACTTTGTGAAGAATACACTAAAATAATTTGAGCTTAAAATATACATTTTATAGTGTATTAGTGTAATGTTGGGGTAGGAAAGGGGGGCACAATTAAAATCAATACGGAAAGGACTCCATTGAGATTTTAGTCTGAAACATACCGCATATGGCATTTGAAATCTTCAATTTCACAAAATATGCTCATATTGTGGAAATCAATATGTACAGAAATGATGTCACATTTTCACTGTCAACATTTTTAATCTGTTTTGAGATGTGTTAGCTGACACACCATCCACATACACAAAATTTGTTGCCACACCATAATTATAAGCTACAGACAGAATCCGCCCCAGACCACAAAGTAGATTGATTTTTGACAGATGAATTAAAATAACCTCCACTGCCTGAAGAATTATGTTTTCAACAGGAATGTTTTGAATTACTTTTCTCTAAAAAAATTGTAAAATAGTGCTGTTAGAAAATAAAATAGTCCCTCTTAAAGTCATTATGGCTATATAGACAGAGGTGTGGCTACAAATGACGGCAGGTTTTTGAGTTTGAAAAATTACATTTAAGAAATTTTAATCAGAATGTTTGATCCCTGTGTTTTTTCTATAATATGCAGATATTTGTTCAGTGTAACCAAAACACTTTCCCATTTATTTTGATAAATAAAATAATGGTTATCTTAACATGATTTGCTACTACTGTTCTATAATGACTTAATTTTCAAGGTTCCAAGAGTTGTTAAGTCAGCCAGGACCGTGGTGAGTTGTCCATTAGGGAGACAATTTAAAGAATAGTTTTAGAAGTTTCAAGACTTAGATTTTTAAACAGTGCTGTTTTAGCTTTAATCTAGTTGCTTATTTTATGAAAAACTAACATTTTTTTTAAATAGAAACATTTTTAAATTGAAAAACTATATTTTGATTATCAATTTTCATTAAGCCACATTACTCATTGTTTATATCTTAACGTTCATAAAGTATAAACCCGAGAATAGCCTAGATTTTAAATTATAAATAATTGATTTGATGATGTACAAGCTTGCACTGCACTCCGATCTTTAGGTCTTGTTACATATTGCCGATTTGATCAGTTTAAAGGTTATCCTTTTCTGAAAGGCCAAACATACAAAAGAATAAATGTTTTGGTTTGATGATAGGTTGTTCTTGGGTTGGCTTTAGCCAGGACAGTTTGCTACCAAAAAATAGGACAAAATACTAAAGAAATTAGTCAGAGATATGTTATTTACACATCATACATTTCATGAGCTGTAGATATTAGTCAGAGATATGATATTTACATTTTTAACCAACATATATCTCACGAGCTGTGCATTAAATTGATGAGAGTACTTTACAATCCACATGGATTGTGGAGCAGAATCCATTGCTCAATTCTCAATAAATTCAAGCATTTCTCTCTCTCAACTCCGCTTAAATCTTTATTTGTGCAGTCTTTCTCTTTAGAATTAACAGTATGTAGATCTATCCCAAATTGCTCATAATTTTTTTTCTATTTGACTCTAGCTTTTATAAAGATATTTAAAATAATTAGTCTGACTCCCTTTAACTTGTTAGAAACAATTAGATCAAGACTTAGTGACCTTTGAAAGAACTATTTTAGTATGTCTTATTGAGCTATGGCGATAAATATGAAAATAAATATTAAATAAAACAAGGGGGGAAAAAATTAAGAGCAGCCATTTCGCTATCAACACTTGGTTTGTAAAGCAGAAGTATGCAGCCATTTCGCTATCAACACTTGGTTTGTAAAGCAGAAGTATGCAGCCAGTTTGCTATCACTACTTGGTTTGTAAAGCAGAAGTATGCAGCCAGTTTGCTATCAACACTTGGTTTGTAAAGCAGAAGTATGCAGACTATGTCTAGATCTAATCCCTTGTCACAAACATGAATTGGTTTGTCCCCGTGGGTTTAAAAATAACTAGCTTTGAGGTGAGGTATTGTATGAATCTAGATCACCCCCCTGTATGTCAATATATTGATCCGTGCATAGAAGAAATCTATGAGATTTAGTGGCAGGGTAAAGGTTGATGGAAACTGTGTATTTTAAAATCTTATAATCTAAAAAATGTCAGTGGACCAGTGACATATGAAAAAATAATAGTTTTTTAAATCCTTGTTGATAAGATCAAAGTCCTGGTTCGGTTACATTTTAAAAATTCTTAATATTAACTTTGGTTTTATTCGTGGCTGGCTTGTTGACAATACATTCAGACAGCTAATTGACCCACTTCCTTCCAACCTATCGAGCTGAACCTTGGACATTTTCCGAACTAGTGAAATCAGTGGCATCATATTTTCTTCACCCGCCCCTTGAAAAACATGAAAAACTGAATTTTGGGGTTGGAAATTTGAAAGAATACATTGTCAATGACAACGAGTCTACTTGCCAAGTTTCCGCTCGATAAGTTGATTGGAAGTGGATCATTTAGCTTCTGATGATTTTGCCACCCACCAAGAAAGAAAGAAAGAAACACACTAACAAAAGCAAAGTTAATAAAAAGGATTTAAAAATGGTGCTACGTGTCAATGTTCTTTTGTCCACATGTGTTCCCTTATCTTCCTGTTAACTCTTTTATGATAAGACATGATCATGTAACATATCCAAAATATCCAAACATCAAAATCTTCCTTCAGACCTTTCCTGAAGATGCTCCACCAAAACCCAGGCAGATCTGGGTTGGGGAAGTAGACACACAGCAGAGACCTTCAGCGCCAGAAAGACAATCTCCAAAACGCAGGACAACGGTTGTGATGCTGGCCGCCCAAGAAGAACCAGACAATGGTGAGATTTAAAAAAAAAATGTTTTAAAAATTTATTTCATATGTGTCAGGTGCTGTTAACAAGAGAATTGTTGCCGTATCTTAATTCAAATTTGCAGGCCATCTTTTACTTTGATTGCAGCATCCGTCTATGCTTCTTTTAAGGTTTTTGAAATCGTGATCATTCAACTGTAATTTCATATTGGGACAGCTGTCTCTGGATCAAACCCATGAACACAGCATTGATTTCCCATGAACACAACATTCATTTCTCATGAACACAACATTCATTTCTCATGATGAGTCTAGAACAACTTGTTGGTTTTTAGATCTAGTTGTGAAGCTCAGGGCACAAGCAATCACCCAGTGCCTGTGTGATCAAGTGTCCCAGTGCCAAGGACTGGTTAGCAAACTCCCCAACAATGTGATGCATTCTCTGTTTCTGTGAAGCATCTCTTGTCAGACGCGTCATGAATGAGCTGATTATTTTTCTCAACATTTTCTGGCCACCCAGAAACAATTGTCATCTGTAACCCCCCTCCCCCCCCCCCAAATTGGCTTTGAAACATGCCTGCTATTCAAAAGTCCATTCTTTACCTAAGGAATGTTCATCAACTGCATGAGGGAGCTCTTGAAGGTTGTTATCTGCATATTAGCAGAGATCAAGGTAAAAGTTGATGCAGGAATGTTTTACATGTTCTGCACACACCATAACATCACATTGGTTGTTCCATAAGGTTGCAAGTAGATGTGTAGCAACTGGACACATTGTTCCATAAGGTTGCAATTAGATGTGTAGCAACTGAAGACATGTGCATGTAGCCGAAGCCCCTCTGGATCCTGTCTCAGGCGGTTTTCAAGCAGTGTCCCTTAAAGTTAAAATTGTATCCGTAGAACTGTGGAGTTTGAACAAATGAAGTCAAGGAATGTATCATAATTTGTATGTTAATGTACAGTTGATTCAACCTGACTTGGTTCTATCACCGTTTGATAGTTTTAGAATAGTGATAAGGGGGAGAGACTGCAATCAGATTAGAAAAATGGGAAATGAGCCAAACGAAGTATGGGGTACCCTGAAAAAATGTACCCTCTTGGATACTTCATTACAGCTAAGTGTTAGTTTGATTTAATTCTGTTTTTTCTGTTGTTTGTTTGTTTGTTTGGCTATTTGTTTGTTTGCCGCTCAATTCGTTTGTTGATTTGTTGCATTCTTTTTTTTCCCCAGGTTTTTCCTTACTTTGTTTTGCTCATTTCCATTTCATATTTTAAAAATTCAGATACAGAAACTTTAATTGTTAAATTTTCAGTCCATATTTTCTTCACTTCATGAACACATCACTGTTGCACACATCAATACAAAGTTGGCTGACTTTTTCTTGGGTTTTACCCAATTTGAATAATAGTTGAAAAAAATTGATATATTTGTTGCACCAAATGTCAATTTAATTCCAAATCTATACGGTGTACATGCGTTTGGTTTAAAGCCTAACAAAAGTTAGATGTCATTGGTTCTGGTCTGGAGGTTTTCAACAAAAGATCATTTCTTTAATCTGGAATTATCCTATGCCAACAAATTTCAACGTTTACTTTGAAGAAAGACGCACCGCCAGTCTTTTGTTATGCCTGGCTTATCAATGGCTCTTCATGCCTTTCAGTTTCAATGCCGTCTGGAGCACACCTTTTCACCGATTCACTGATTTTAAAAAAAAGATATTGATTTTTATTTATGGTAACAAACAGATCAAGCTAACAACCCCTTTTTTTAATTTAAAACTGTTGGGGGAGGGGGGGAGGGGAGAAAGATGTCATTTTTTAAATAGTTTTTTCATCAAGTTTTTAATTTGAACAAATCAGCTGGATTGATAATTTAATGAATTTATTTCAACTTGACATACGCCGTGTTGTCTTACATGCCGGAAAATACGGTATTTGTGCTTGATGTGAAAAAAGGAATATTGCTTTGAATATTTCTTTTACTGTTTGTAACGATGAAGGCACTGTCCCGAAACACCTTTAAGTTTAAGTTTGTATTTTTGGCTTCACATCATTCAAGCGTACTGAAGTTGGTTGATGTCTTAATAAACCACATTAAAAAGATTTGGCGCAGTCCAACCCTCTTACAATCAGTTAATTGGATTGAACCCGATGAGATGAAATACAATGAGATAAAGTACAATGTGATCGAGTACAATGTCATGGAGTACAATGAGATGAAGTACAATGAGATTAATTAAATTGAGGTGAAGTACTGTGAAGTAGACTGAGGTGGAGTACAATGAGATGAAGTACAATGTGATGGCGTACAATGTGATGGAGTACTATGAGATGGAGTACAAAGAGATGGAGTACAATAAGATGGAGTAAAATGAGGTGAAGTACAATAAGATGGAGTACAATGAGATGGAGTTCAATGAGATGGAGTACAAACAATGAGATGGAGTGCAATCTTATGGAATAAAATGAGATAGAATACAATAAGATGGAGTACAATGAGATGAAGTACAATGAGATGAAGTACAATGGGGTGGAATACAATAAGGTGGAGTACAATGTGATGGAGTACAATGAGGTGAGGTACAATGTGATAGAGGATAATGAGATGAATTACAATGAGTTGAAGTACTGTGAAGTACTGTGATGTGAAGTAGACTGAGGTGGAGTACAATGAGATGGAGTACAATTTGATGGCGTACACGTAAAAATATTAAAAACTATAAGCAGCAACTAAAACAAATTTTTCAAAAAAAGCAAGCACTGTTATATTTTTTACCTTCATGTGTTTGTCCTGATACAAATATTGTACAGTTGAAATCAAATGAGTGCAGCTCATGTCTTGTTCTGACATTCAAAGTGCCGACCTTTAGTCTGTATGACAGCCACTGACATTCAAAGTGCCGACCTTTAGTCTGTATGACAGCCACTGACATTCAAAGTGACAACCTTTAGTCTGTAAGACAGCCACTGACATTCAAAGTTCAGAACTTTAGTCTGTATGACAGCCACTGACATTCAAAGTGACAACCTTTAGTCTGTATGATAGCCACTGACATTCAAAGTGCCGACCTTTAGTTTGTATAACAGCCACTGACATTCAAAGTGCCGACCTTTAGTTTGTATAACAGCCACTGACATTCAAAGTGCCGAACTTTAGTCTGTATGACAGCCCCAGACATTTAGAGTGCCGAACTTTAGTCTGTATGACAGCCACAGACATTTAGAGTGCCAAAGTTATGTCTGTAAGACAGCCACTGACATTTAGAGTGCCAAACTTTAGTGTGTATGACAGCCACTGACATTTAGAGTGCCAAACTTTAGTGTGTATGACAGCCACAGATAGCACTATTGACTTCCACTCTGCTGCACTCGAGTCGGGGCCAAGAAATAAGCCATTGAAAAAATCCACCATTGATACTGAGATATTGACCAACTGCAGCTCTACAATGACATTAAACAACATGAAGTTGTAAGGCATTATTCATGACGGAACCACCTGCGGCTTGTCTTATAGGGTTCCAATTCTGTTTTTGTAATGTGCTATCTCAACATTGGTTCACAGACTCAACATTGGTTCACTGACTCAACAATGGTTCACTGACTCAACATTGGTTTACTGACTCAACATTAGTTGACTGTCTCAACAATGGTGCTCTGACTCAAGTAAGAGTCAATCAATCTGTGTCAACATTGGTTGACTGACTCAACATAGCTTCACAGACGCAAGGAAGAGTCGAGCAATCAGTCTCAACATTGGTTGACTGACTAAACATAGGTTCACAGACTCCAGTAAGAGTCAAACGATCTGTTTCAACATTGGTTCAGACTCAAGTAAGAGTCGAAGCATCAGTCCATTCAAGCTTGAACACATTCTAGCAAATCTTATTATTCTAGATTTGAAAGAAATAAAAAGGGGGGCGGGGGATTTTCAGTTGTCATTAAATATATTGATTCCATTACTTGTTTCTGAAGTGTTTAACAGACATTTTTGAATGCAGACATCAGACACCTAGAATATAGGAAAGCTATTCCAGGGTGAGCTTGAAGTAAAAACATCAAGAATGTCATAAAGTGTCTTTGATTGATGCAGAAAGAATGTCATAAAGTGTCTTTGATTGATGCAGAAAGAATGTCATAAAGTGTCTTTAATTGACACAGAAAGAATGTCATTAAGTGTCCTGCTTGACCTGTCTTTGCAGGCTCATATACCCAGATGTATCAGCAAAAGTTGAGACGCCAGCAAGCTCCTGCCGCCAGAGTGGTCAGACCTGAAGGTGAGTTACTGATTCCTTATGGAAATCTTCCACTACTGTCAGTGGTGTGGACTGTAGGCTAAATTGGTATGACCTACTGAATTGGTATGACCTACTAAATTGGTATGACCTACTGAATTGGTATAACCTAATGAATTGTATAATCTACTAAATTGGTATGACATACTGAATTGGTATGATCTACTGAATTGGTATGACCTACTGAATTGGTATGACCTACTGAAATGGTATGACCTACTGAATTGGAATGATCTACTGAATTGGTATGACCTACTGAAATGGTATGACCTACTGAATTGGTATGATCTACTGAATTGGTATGATCTACTGAATTGGTATGACCTACTGAATTGGTATGACCTACTACATTGGTATGACCTACTGAATTGGTATGATCTACTAAATTGGTATGACATTCTGAATTGGTATGATCTACTAAATTGGTATGATCTACTAAATTGGTATGATCTACTAAATTGGAATAATCCATTTAATTGGTATGATCTACTAAATTGGAATAATCCATTTAATTGGTATGATCTACTAAATTGGAATGATTCATTTAATTGGTATGATCTACTAAATTGGAATGATCCATTTAATTGGTATGATCTACTAAATTGGAATAATCCGTTTAATTGGTATGATCTACTAAATTGGAATGATCCATTTAATTGGTATGATCTACTAAATTAGTGTGACCTATGAACTCAGGATGTCTATACTATAATTTCTTTTGCAAGTCACTCTGTCCAGGCTTTCTATTTACTTTTGTCCTTGGAATATGATTGAAAGTTTCTACACAGGACAGTGTTTCATTAATGGAACCGTATTTCTAACACCCTTAAATACACCCCCAGTGACACCCTTAAATACACCCCTGTGACACAAATAAATACATCCCCAGTGACCCCCCTACATACACCCCAAGTGACACCCCTAAATACACCCCCAGTGGCACCCCTAAGTCTCATCACTGGCCTTACTCTTATTGGGAACACCATACGCTTACATATAGATTACCTGAATCATTGAATGTGATCCAAGCTTGCTGAAATATGCAGTAGTAGTTCACAGTTACTGAATTGCCCATCAACTTGTGTGTGTGTGTGTGTGTGATTAATGCAGATTGTTTCTTAAAATGGCTTCTGTTTTTAAAACTAAATGGCTTCATGCTGGAACGTCTAGTGATTTCCCCTTGGACAGTGGAGGATTAATTTTAAGCAGGTTTGTATATGATTAAAAGCTCAATCATTGATGATTATATAGAAGATGCATACATCTGACTGTTGCATGGACTGTACTATTATTGGTCTTCACATGCTCAGTCAAAGACGGATGTCGTTCACAGCGCCCGGCCGGTGCATGATGGTAGGTAGAGGCTTACTTGGGGTTCATTTTTTTCATGTTTTTTTTTTTTTTTTGGGGTGGTGGT